TTTTTTTTTTAGGCAATATAGGCCAGGAAAATATCTTTTACGATATTCTAGAACGAAAAAAAGCCTTTCTAGGCTATAAAAACAAGAACTTCAAAAAGTCGAAAAATTGACATTTTTCCAAAGGGGTTAACCCATGGTTTTGGTCCAAAAATGGCCATTTTGGCAATTTTTTTTTTTTCAGGCAACATAGGTCAGGAAAATGTGTTTTACGATATCCTAGAACGAAAAAACGCCTTTCTAGGCTGTAAAAACAAGAAGTTCAAAAAGTCGAAAAATTGACATTTTTCCAAAGGGGTTAACCCATGGTTTTGGTCCAAAAATGGCCATTTTGGCAACTTTTTTTTTTAGGCAATATAGGCCAGGAAAATGTCTTTTACGATATTCTAGAACGAAAAAACGCCTTTCTAGGCTATAAAAACAAGAAGTTCAAAAAGTCGAAAAATTGACATTTTTCCAAAGGGGTTAACCCATGGTTTTGGTCCAAAAATGGCCATTTTGGCACCTTTTTTTTTTTAGGCAATATAGGCCAGGAGAATGTCTTTTGCGATATTCTAGAACGAAATAACGCCTTTCTAGGCTATAAAAACAAGAAGTTCAAAAAGTCGAAAAATTGACATTTTTCCAAAGGGGTTAACCCATGGTTTTGGTCCAAAATTGGTCGTTTTTCTATTTTTTTTTTTTTTAGGGAATATAGGCCAGGAAACTGTCTTTTACGATATTCTAGAACGAAAAAACGCCTTTCTAGGCTATAAAAACAAGAAGTTGAAAAAGTCGAAAAATTGACATTTTTCCAAAGGGGTTAACCCATGCTTTTGGTCCAAAAATGGCCATTTTGGCAACTTTTTTTCTTTAGGCAATATAGGCCAGGAAAATGTCTTTTACGATATTCTAGAACGAAAAAACGCCTTTCTAGGCTGTAAAAACAAGAACATCAAAAAGTCGAAAAATTGACATTTTTCCAAAGGGGTTAACCCATGGTTTTGGTCCAAAAATGGCCATTTTGGCAACTTTTTTTTTTTAGGCAATATAGGCCAGGAGAATGTCTTTTGCGATATTCTAGAACGAAATAACGCCTTTCTAGGCTATAAAAACAAGAAGTTCAAAAAGTCGAAAAATTGACATTTTTCCAAAGGGGTTAACCCATGGTTTTGGTCCAAAATTGGTCGTCTTTCCAATTTTTTTTTTTTAGGGAATATGGGCCAGGAAACTGTCTTTTACGATATTCTAGAACGAAAAAACGCCTTTCTAGGCTATAAAAACAACAAGTTCAAAAAGTCGAAAAATTGATATTTTTCCAAAGGGGTTAACCCATGGTTTTGGTCCAAAAATGGCCATTTTGGCAACTTTTTTTTTTTAGGCAATATAGGCCTGGAGAATGTCTTTTGCGATATTCTAGAACGAAAAAACGCCTTTCTAGGCTATAAAAACAAGAAGTTCAAAAAGTCGAAAAATTGACATTTTTCCAAAGGGGTTAACCCATGGTTTTGGTCCAAAAATGGCCATTTTGGCAACTTGTTTTTTAAGGGCAATATAGGGTAGGAAAATGTCTTTTACGATATTCTAGAACGAAAAAACGCCTTTCTAGGCTGTAAAAACAAGAAGTTCAAAAAGTCGAAAAATTGATATTTTTCCAAAGGGGTTAACCCATGCTTTTGGTCCAAAAATGGCCATTTTGGCAACTTTTTTTCTTTAGGCAATATAGGCCAGGAAAATGTCTTTTACGATATTCTAGAACGAAAAAACGCCTTTCTAGGCTGTGAAAACAAGAACTTCAAAAAGTCGAAAAATTGACATTTTTCCAAAGGTGTTAACCCATGGTTTTGGTCCAAAAATGGCCATTTTGGCAACTTTTTTTTTTTAGGCAATATAGGCCAGGAGAATGTCTTTTGCGATATTCTAGAACGAAATAACGCCTTTCTAGGCTATAAAAACAAGAAGTTCAAAAAGTCGAAAAATTGACATTTTTCCGAAGGGGTTAACCCATGGTTTTGGTCCAAAATTGGTCGTCTTTCCAATTTTTTTTTTTTAGGGAATATAGGCCAGGAAACTGTCTTTTAAGATATTCTAGAACGAAAAAACGCCTTTCTAGGCTATAAAAACAAGAAGTTCAAAAAGTCGAAAAATTGATATTTTTCCAAAGGGGTTAACCCATGGTTTTGGTCCAAAAATGGCCATTTTGGCAACTTGTTTTTTTCAGGCAATATAGGGTAGGAAAATGTCTTTTACGATATTCTAGAACGAAAAAACGCCTTTCTAGGCTATAAAAACAAGAAGTTCAAACAGTCGAAAAATTGACATTTTTCCAAAGGGGTTGTTAACCCATGCTTTTGGTCCAAAAATGGCCATTTTGGCAACTTTTTTTCTTTAGGCAATATAGGCCAGGAAAATGTCTTTTACGATATTCTAGAACGAAAAAACGCCTTTCTAGGCTGTAAAAACAAGAACTTCAAAAAGTCGAAAAATTGACATTTTTCCAAAGGGGTTAACCCATGGTTTTGGTCCAAAAATGACCATTTTGGCAACTTTTTTTTTTTAGGCAATATAGGCCAGGAGAATGTCTTTTGCGATATTCTAGAACGAAATAACGCCTTTCTAGGCTATAAAAACAAGAAGTTCAAAAAGTCGAAAAATTGACATTTTTCCAAAGGGGTTAACCCATGGTTTTGGTCCAAAGTGGCCATTTTGGCAACTTGTTTTTTTCAGGCAATATAGGGTAGGAAAATGTGTTTTACGATATTCAAGAACGAAAAAAAGCCTTTCTAGGCTATATAAACAAGAAGTTCAAAAAGTCGAAAAATTGACATTTTTCCAAAGGGGTTAACCCATGGTTTTGGTCCAAAATTGGTCGTTTTTCCAATTTTTTTTTTTTTAGGGAATATAGGCCAGGAAACTGTCTTTTACGATATTCTAGAACAAAAAAACGCCTTTCTAGGCTATAAAAACAAGAAGTTCAAAAAGTCGAAAAATTGACATTTTTCCAAAGGGGTTAACCCATGGTTTTGGTCCAAAATTGGTCGTTTTTCCAATTTTTTTTTTTTTAGGGAATATAGGCCAGGAAACTGTCTTTTACGATATTCTAGAACGAAAAAACGCCTTTCTAGGCTATAAAAACAAGAAGTTCAAAAAGTCGAAAAATTGACATTTTTCCAAAGGGGTTAACCCATGGTTTTGGTCCAAAAATGGCCATTTTGGGAACTTTTTTTTTTAGGCAATATAGGCCAGGAGAATGTCTTTTGCGATATTCTAGAACGAAAAAACGCCTTTCTAGGCTGTAAAAACAAGAACGTCAAAAAGTCGAAAAATTGACATTTTTCCAAAGGGGTTAACCCATGGTTTTGGTCCAAAATTGGTCGTTTTTCCAATTTTTTTTTTTAGGGAATATAGGCCAGGAAACTGTCTTTTACGATATTCTAGAACGAAAAAACGCCTTTCTAGGCTATAAAAACAAGAAGTTCAAAAAGTCGAAAAATTGACATTTTTCCAAAGGGGTTAACCCATGGTTTTGGTCCAAAAATGGTCATTTTGGCAACTTTTTTTTTTTAGGCAATATAGGCCAGGAGAATGTCTTTTGCGATATTCTAGAACGAAATAACGCCTTTCTAGGCTATAAAAACAAGAAGTTCAAAAAGTCGAAAAATTGACATTTTTCCAAAGGGGTTAACCCATGGTTTTGGTCCAAAATTGGCCGTTTTTCCAATTTTTTTTTTTAGGGAATATAGGCCTGGAAACTGTCTTTTACGATATTCTAGAACGAAAAAACGCCTTTTTAGGCTATAAAAACAAGATGTTGAAAAAGTCGAAAAATTGGCATTTTTCCAAACGGGTCAGTTCTCGGTTTTGTTAAAAATTGGCCTTTTTCTCCTTATTATTATTTTCAACCTACTTAAGAAATGACTCCTGGGTTCAAACTTTTTCACACCTTATACAAAAAGAGTAAGAGCAGGTGACCAACCATCAATCCATAGAGCCTTTAAAATCAGGATGTCGATGATAGTGGCTCCTTTATGTCACTCAGCTTGGCTTTTTTCCTTATGGCAGACAGTAATCTTGGCACAAATTTCTTCTATTTTCCAGATAAGATACAAAAAATGATGACAGGTACAAAGCGTCAATGTTTAAATAGAATTCATATCAATGTTTTATGATGTAAAGCGTATTCTCCAAAGTCGAACAAAAATTGAATAAACCATGTGTCATAATAAATCAAGGTCGATGAGTAGTCATCCAGTGAGAAACCTGTAGCTAAAACAAGATTTCACCCAATAGTTCTTCTCCTCTAAAGGTTCATAAAGACGGCCGCCCGTTCTGTTCTGTTGTCTCCCGTTGTCAAATCCTACAACTACAACCTTGCTTCTAACCTTGTCGGCTTACTTCAGCCAATTTCGACCGACCGACACACCGTTAAAGATTCTTTTAGTTTTGCACACAGGGCTAAAAGAGTACAAACTTACCAATGGTATGATACCGCGCTCTTTGGAAGTCCTTCCCAAATGTGCCACTTGATGAAACAATACGAATTTGTGCGAGCAAGGTCTTCATATTTGGGGGGTGTCGCAAGGAGACTGCAATCGCAGGCTGCAATCGTAGAGCAAGCTCTCCATATTTGGGGGAGTCGTGAGGAGACTGCAATCGCAGTCTGCATCATAGAAACTTGGCTTAATGGTCTAGATGTCCTACGCAGCGCTTGAAAACATTTTTAAATTCATAATTTATCGACATAAAAAAAAGAACGTCAACAGACAATTATGGTGGACGATAGCGGTCTACAAACTTCTGCGTATTCGTTAGACACGATAATCTCAATTTTTTTGACAGTCGCCTCTTATTTCAGAATTCAACAATTTATTCACCATGATTAGATCAGACGTAGCTATTTTACATAAACATTTTATTGCAGATTACAATATTTAACAATTATTCCTCGAGCCCGAATGGGCTCTGAGTCAATAGCCCATGAGCCCGAAGGCCGAATGGGCTATTGACTCAGACGCCACGAGGGCGAAGGGAATAATTGTTTTAGTAAAATCCAACTAGTTGGACAAAAATATTGAGAAAAAAAATTGTTAGCTAGTTAAAGCTAGACTTTAATCCTTTTTTGCCGCCAAAAAGCCCGCGCTTTTCGCTACTAGTAAGCTATAACACATGGCCTAGTAGTAGCTCAACCAATCAGAACGCAGCATTGATAATAGACCATTAGTTGGATTTTACTAATTACTGTTATCTCTGCCGGTTGATTTATTACAAATAAAAAGGCCAGTTCGTAAGTTCCAAGTGAAAAAAAGTCAAAAACATTGTTCGGCTCCGTATGAACAAGACGTCCAGTCCAATTTTTCAGCCGTTCGAAAATTCCTCCGGAGCCGGGTAATCTCGGCCTTTGAATTGAAGTTCAAAAAACCGCTAAGAAGGAGTTAGAAGGTATGTACAAAGGTCGGACTAAAAGTGCCCGGAACCAGGTCTGACCGTTTAATTCTTCCCTAGATGGTATTCAGTCAGTATTCCTGGAGTAAGTGAAGTAAAGAACTAATGAGCTCGGGAAAGAACTTTGAAACAAAAACGCCCGAACTTCCATAGACACCAAAGCCAATAGTTTGTCTCATCGAAGATTTCGTCCTCATGGGAAAGAAGTGAAGTCATCCATGTCGGTTTCTACTTCAGCTCAGAGAGAAAATTGAGACGAAAGCCTGAACTTCAATAGATACAAAAGCCCATAGTTTGTCTTATTGAAGCTTTCGTTCCCACGGTTTAAGTCACCCTTGAGGTTTCTACTTCGGAGATGTCTTGGCCGATCTTTTTCCGCCCTGAAGCCGTAAGCCATCTTCGGGAAAGAAGCGTCCACAGGACACCCAATCATCCATTCGTCTCCATATCTCAGAGATACAAACTGGCTGCGAACACAATATCCCTCTTGATTTTGATGATGCCTAAAACATCGTTGGAAAACTTGTTAGAAGATGTTTAAGGTTCACAATTTATAAACGTCTACTATAAACAACTGAAATGAAGCCGTGTAATGTCAAACTAATATCGATACCAGGGCTAGTCACGCTTCTTGCTATCTTCCAAACAGCTAAAACGTGTTTCTCATCAATTTAATTCGGACAACAATGGTCCAGTTTTGTTATTTAAGTCTATATTTTGGCATTGAAAATCTTTCTTTTTGTTTGTTGCAACGGATAGCAAAGATGGACATGGATTGAAACCTATAGCGGCAAGTATCACCAAAAACTTATTATGGTTAGCACTGCCTGATGAAATCCGTTTGATATTTTCTTCACAACTCTACACGAGCATTTTGTGTATGGGTGAAGACACTAAGCAATGACTTCAGCACAGAACTGACCTAAAACAGCAATACCCCCCTGAGAGAGTCCCTTTAAGCTGACGATGTTTTCAAAAACAAACTTGAAACCTGCGCGTGACATAGCCGCTTTAAAGAGGGCCTGGTTCTCACCTTCTGCAAATTTATTTTCCAGTTCTGTGTTGCCAATGGCTTTAGAGGCTTGGCACATTTGTCTCAAGAGTTCTTCCAAGCGACGCATACATCTGATAATACTTCCTACAACACACAAAAAGAAAATGTATTCAAGAGCTGATCGTCAGAGTCGCAGTTATTAGTTAGTGGTTTCTGGTTTGGGTATTCACCTTTGGTCATCTTTTAGTAATTATCAATAATAATAATTAATAATAATAACACTAATAATAATAAACTTTATCAGGAAGATTTCAGTCAATATAACAGTGATTTACAGAAAGTTTAAAAGGTTAAAATGATCAAAAAGAAAAACACCGACTGCCCGTGTATGAATTATGAGACTTAAAAAGGCACGTCAAGATAAAGCCTTTTCCATGCGCCACAAGTCGACCTTGGTTATCTTTGCCACGCACAAGTAAGTCAAACCACTCTTACCTTTTTCTCATACGTTCTTTGACAATTATAACCAGTTTTTCCCTCATATTTCAGCCAAAACTATAATCAGATGAATAGTAATTTTTCGCTTTAAATCTTATAATCCCATTTTTCCTGCTCTGGAAAAATATTTAAGAACCAGAAACTATGTAATTACCTTCAAACACGTCAGTCATTTTACAGATTTGTGAAAAAGACGCGCCATTGGCCCAGGCAAACACCACATCCATGATGTTAGGTCTGAAGGATTCTACATAGGTCTCCACATCAATCTCAAGTTTAGCTTCTTCTGATACTTTTCCAATACGACGGGCTGACTCCTACAGGAAAGGAAGACATTTCATAGCATAGTTAACCTTACATATTTTAGTGTCAAGACACTAGGAATGACTGAAAGGATGAAAGCGATGGTGAATATGATGGCGACAATAAGGATGATTAGGGAGAGTACAAAAAGGCTGATGATGATGATGATGATAATGAAGGTGAAAAGTAGCACGAGGAGGAAGATGAGAAGTAAAAGGACGTGAAATTGACTGACGATGGTTGTCTTTACAATAGGCTGTTAAGTAAGACTTAAGAGCCGCTAAGTTTTACTTAACCAAAAATTCGTGTGTGAAGGCCTAAGTAAAATCTCAAGTAACTTTGCTTTGCATCTCATTAAAGTCAGAAAGTTGAAACGATTCAAGAAAGTTTCAAGCGACTTGAAAACCATCCTTATGACCGACTTGGCCGTCGATAAAACCCGGAACATGGAACATCCCGGAACATTCCGGAACATTCCGGAACATTCCGGAACATCCCGGAACATGAAAAAATTAAAATATTTTTTTTTGAAAAAATGATTAATTAACTAAATAATAATAATAATAATAATAATAATAATAATAATAAATAATAAAAGGAACAATAGATAGAAAACAATTTTTGCAAAAATTTATAATAACAAAATATAAATAACATAACATAACATAAAAACGAAAAATAAAGAAACAAACCAAGAAAGAAAGAAAAAGAAACTGGTATCATCTCCGAGTATAAGAAAACAATTTTTTGTTGCAATGAATTTTTTGCGGTGGGCGAGTAAGGGTCCATTCAAATGACAGTCCCCAGTCATCCTACTCACCCTGGTCACCCTAATGAGTGAAGGCTTGCTTCTTAATTCAAAATATATTAAAATGGGTCGCGAGGAGAGGGTTTTCAGGCTTTCGTCACACAGCCACCTCTTGTAAAGGTTTGCCATGTGGTTTAACATTATCCATTTACGGCTTTGCGACCGAAAGAAGAGCTTAGGGGCTTGTCGCTTTGGACTTGGATAATTAAATTAAAGATTCAGATTCACCGTGAATAGTTGCAGTGGCAGTGATAGCGCAGCGGTAGTTTCTAACTGTTATCAGTTGGCCTGAATTTTAGCCGTCTCCCCGCAAACTCCTCCTGCGACTAGAGGAGACGTCTGAAATATCATGCTGACTGTAAACAGTATCAGGGAAACTACTACGAATGTGAGTATTGTCCACTAAAATCCAAAGACAGGAGCCCCTATACTCTTCTTAAGTTCACAGAGCCGCCTAGTCTGTAAGTAATTCATGTTCAAAGAAAGCAAAGCACCTCAAGTAAGCAAATGTCGGTTATAAATAAGGAGACTATATGTTGGCTTGAAATGAGCTACTTACAGGGCTGCAAATAACGGACAGCAGGTTGCCGGTCATGATGACCGGCCAAATATTCTTTAGCCCGGACAAACCCCGATTCTGGCCGGTCAAATAATGAATACTAATAATTTTTTTTTTTGCCTAAGGAATATCCAATTATGCTGGCAATAGATCGTTATTACTACATTGACGTTCACATTTTTGACAGCAAATTGGTGAAAAATGCATTCGCACGTTGTAGAGTTCCTTTCCGCGGTTTTCGCGTTTTCGTGTTACGTTCTACCTTGAGTATCATTGCATGGCGGAGTCTGAAGTCTCTTGAGGTAAAAAGTGAAGTGTAAATCCTTTTCAAACTCCCAAGGTTCAGGAAATGGAATACACATACAGTTCAGCAAACTTTAGAAATTACGAAAAAAAAAAACCAAAAAATTGGGTTATTTTACAAAATCTGCACACGCTTGTTTTACGTTGATGTTCCGAAATGAACATCGGTGAAACTTGATCTTTTTCCTTGCCTGGCACGTGATCGAAAGTCACTTTCTCAAAGAAGAATCGTCGCTGATATTTTCGGCAAAGAAGTTGATTTGCATTGGCGAGAAGTTTGTTCCACAAACAGCGTGTTGATGATCAGAAGTCAATAAATAAATTTGGGTCATCGCGCAACATTTTATCGCGAAGGGCTCAAATGTCAAAAGAAATTTGCATAAAGTTGTTTACAAGAACGAGAATCTAGCGCCGCGATAGACGACGACCTTCCCCCTTGAGTAGCTTAAATTTTTATCAGACCATTCTGGAATCGAGTCTGCAAACGAGATTCATGTTCGACATAAAAGAAATTATTATTAATCGATGCGCTAACATTTATTTCCGGAGAAACACGGGACGACCTGTTGAGAATTGCAATCGATTTGCCTGAATTCCTTCGAATTCCCAAAGAAGTGAAGAAGGTCACATTGCTGATTACACCAAAGCCGAAAGTACAGTTCGACTTGCAACGTTGCGTTACTTTTTAACTCAGTTTGTTATTCACTTTGTTGCGTTTCATTATGACATGACGACATGAAATTAATTTATTGCGGTGTTCTTTTTCTTAGAAGGGTTTAGTGCAAAGCAGCAAAAAACGCCAAAGAAAAAAGAAATCATTGCAGCGTTATAGAGCATTAAGCGACAACTCTATTGAAAATAAAATGTTTATCTCCAAAAATGACCGGTCAAAATGACCGGCAAGACCGGAGTTTGACCGGTCAAGTCCACGATCAGGCCGGACATTGTCCGTTGACCGGCCGTTATTTGCAGCCCTGTACTTACCGACTTGGCTTGACATGAAATACTGCAGGTACATTTCAGACCATTGCAGAACCGTAAATGGATAACCGCCAAATAATTAACTCACGGCAAACAATTACAACAGGTAACTGTGTGAGGAAAGCTTAAAAACCCCCCCTCCTCGCGACCCATTTTAATATATTTTGAATTTAGAAGCAAACCTTCACTCGTTACTGTCATTTGCATGAACCCTCATTCGCCCAACAAATTTTAATTTGTTGCGACAAAATATTGTTTTCTCATACTCACAGAGGATATCAGTTTCTTTTTCTTGATTAATTGATTATTTTTCGTTTTTCTTTTGTTATTTTACGTTATTATTAATTTTTACAAAAATTATTTTATTATTATTATTTTATTATATTTTTTTTCATGAAAATTATTTTTATTTTTTCATGTTCCGGGATGTTCCGGGATGTTCCGGAATGTTCCGGCATGTTCCGGAATGTTCCGTGTTCCGGGTTTTATCGACGGCCGACCGACTTAGCTGACTTGCGGTTTTGCGGTTTCTTGAGCTTTGAGAAAGGCGAGACATGTCAATCAATCTTAATTTTGTTGCGTGGGAAAATGACCTGAAGTAAAAAAGAATCGGTTGTGTGTGAAGCTTTATTTTACTTGAAGTAATTAAAATTTACTTGTCTTGAAATATTTCTTAGCTTATTTAGGCTCTAGTGTAAAGACTACCGATGATGGGATAATGAGCCGAAATATGAGGACGGAGATCATAGTAAAGATGATGATGCCAATATAAAAGGGGAAGAAAAGGAGCGTCACTATGAGAATAGCAAAGATAGAAGAGTGATTATGAGGACAGCAATCAGGAAATGATGAAGATGGCGATGGTGGTGGTGGTGGCGGTGATAATGATGATGATGATGGCGATGATGCTGATGATGATGACGGTCATGATGGCCGTGGTGGTGGTGGAACTAGCGATGACCATGACGGTGATGACGATGATGACCATAAAGCTGATAAGAAAGGATACCGATAGTGGTGAGGAATAGGTGGAACATCCATACCTGCATTTGTCTAAGAGGACCGGCCAACTCTTCAGTTAATTTAGGCATCTCATCACTCTATTTTGAAAATGAATTTAAAAAGTGAGGAGTCTATAGATAATATTAAGGGCATATGGATACTGTTAAGAAATCCGGTAAGGCAACCTTGTAAATAACCTTGTTAAAAAAAAGTAGCTCTACCAAAAACAATAGTTCAAGGGGTTAAACGTTTGGCCTTGTAGACGACAGCCAAAAGCGTAGACATTTACAAATAAAAGCCATCTGTTGAGCAGAACGTTCCCCACAAACATTTTTTCATGCGTTACACAGTGAAGATACACGGCCTTAAATAATTTGACAGAAGCCAAATTGCACGGACTATTAAACATAACTTTCCTGCTCACTCTACAGTTTACCTTTTCTTCGAATACAAAACAGCTCAGAAGAGCTACGCACTGCTGAACTGTGAGATCATTAAACACTCCATTGAAGATCATCTCCGTGAGCAACAACTCGTCACCACTGCAGACCAAACACATACAAAAAAAAATAAATATACTTTCCGCTAATAAGCCCTGCACCCCTTGACACCAACAAAGAGGCAGGGTTAGTAAAGGTTGTCCTAAGTGTACCAAATTAAAAATACAACAAGTTTCATTGTTAACTGAGCGCGAAAAAATTGGCCGTTTAGTTTAACAAATACATCAATGAATAAACTGGAGGTTACAAACTGTAAGTGAAGTACTACGAGTAGATGTTGTGGTTCAATTTTATTTTCCTTTGTTTCAAACTCATTACCATACATTACCATACCCCAAAACCAAGGATAAAATTGAACCACAACAGATACTTAGCAGCACTACATGTCATTTAATACGAGTAATTTCAACCAGTTTATCTATTGAGTTCTTTACAAGTAGCTGTAGTTTACTAAAAAAGACACTTGGTACAAGAGGCCTGTAAATTTTTTCTTTCGAGCCTGTGGATAAAGTCCTGTGGCGTGAACATTAAAGTAAAACTACTTCACGAGCTCTTTTACCATGTACTACACAGTATTTTAATGAAAGAGATGGACATTTTATCTTGAATTTTAAAGTTTAGCACTGTAAAGACGTTTTGACCAACCTGCTAAGTTCACAGGCCACGCGTCCTTTCAACTCAATAACATCAGCAGCAGTTGCATAACCCAACCTACCACACAGAAGAGGTATAATTATAATCAGCTTTTATCAAGCCACCACCTGTTTATAAGGCCAAACTGAAGCACGCAGGGATGAAAAGAAACACTTTCGAGGCCGGGCCCCTCTTAGCCATGGTCTGTATAGCCCCTCCCTTCCCACCCCTCAGAAATTTACCTTATGCTCATCTACTGTAATGATTATGAGCGTGCCTATAAGTGGAAAAACAGCTTGTAAAGCCTGTGCCAGGCAACAATTCAGCTCTTGTCTAAGCAAAAATACTGAATTTATTAAAACATAACAAGAAAAAAGAACAACGTTACGGTACGTGTTGCATGAATACCTTCTTAAGACTCGCTTCCTGCATTTGAGTTCGTCCAGCTGTAAAACAGTTCTCGTTCTTTTAAGTTCTTTCTTCACCGTCTTGATTTCAGCATTGATCTAATAAGAGTAAAAAGAAATTCAATAACAAGCCCTAAAAATTCTCCACCATAATCAATACGCAGTATTCGAAAATTTGCCTCAACCAGTCAGAAGCACTTCTCAGATCTGGGTAGTCATCAGTATGGAATTTCCGCGCTTGTCCCGCAAATGTCATTTTGCGAGGAAGCCATTAGTGGCGTCGCAAAATGTCGCCAGTTTTCGCAAGGCCAGGTAATCCCATGTCCACACTGTTTGCCAACCCGTAACACAATACCAACACTGTTTACCAACACGTGGCACCGTACCACAATCGTTGAACAACATGTTTAAACTACATTAACACTAACTAACACCCCTAATAACATTAGTAGCCAACATGTAACGCTCCATGAACAATGTTGGTGAACAAGTAGTACCCCAGTAACATTGTTGGCAAACACGAAACACCCTATCAGAAGCATTGGTAAAAAAGAGGCACCATTAGAAGTGTAAAGAATATAATACAATAACGAACACAGACGAAAAAGACTCACTGTTGCTTTCTGCTCGCATAAGCTGTATAATGACTCCAATGAGGAATCCTTGTGTAGGGGATGAGTGTACATACGATGTTCTAAGGTCTCTATTTTCTGTAGGCAAAACAAAGAAAGAACAACATATGATAAGACAAAGCTGACAAAAGTTAAAAAATTCTGCGCTTGTCGCCCTTTTCTCGTGTCTGCGCTGTTGTGAGTCCTTGAGGACCATGGATGAAATATCAAAAGGTCTTTTTTAGGTGTTCTCCGCCCCTCCTACTATTCACCAAGTTACGCCAACGAGAATTGTTTTATATTTTACCCTGCCTCCTCACCTTCAGGGTAAAAAAAACAGCTCCCCCAAAAATCTGTTGGCCATCTGACAACAGACAGTCGACCAACAGTTCAACGACACTCGGCCAACAGAATAGAGATTACTTTCGTAAGTATGAACTCTCAAGGTTATCACAAATTGGTTGACAGTTTAATGACAATCGATCGCTGTTGTTGCAAAACATTGCAAATCCCTTCCACCCTCCACAAACACACACACACACGCAACTTATCCATACTCCAGCAATCAATGACGACTGTGGCAGTCAGCCGGGTTCAAATGCTATAGGAGAAATACAGACCCGAATAACAGTTTTCAATCCATCATCTTTGATTCCCATGTCTTCTATTGGATCGAGCAAAGGCAAGCCATCTGGAAAGCGACGCTTTACTTCCTGTCAGCATTGAATAAATAAAATAAATAAATAGTCGCTCCAGGTAAGATAATCAAATTCTTGATTCCATGCTGTGGATTCGGAATTCCAGGTAACGGATTATGGATTCCTTGTCAGCGGAACTTGGATTCTGGATTCCACAATAAATAATTTCCTGCATTCCAGATTACACACGCAAAAATTTCCCGGATTCCCTAATCCTAATCGGGATGAGTAACATGGGGCGAATGTATGATAGCGCAAAAATACCGCTACAACTTGATTCCTGAAAATTTCAATCTGATCACTACATATATTAAGTGCTGACCTTGATAGACTTGCCGACACTCTGCCTACTGTCAGGTGATCTAAGATCCTTAGGGATGTATAACCTCACACTGCTGATGGCTTTAACAAGATGTAACAGGATGGGGACCACCTGAATATATATAAAAAAGATAAAAAAAATAACAATGTTTGATATACGCATGGCATTAGTAGCTGCACCGAAGGATAATACTTCTCAGCATTTTTCATTTGAGTGGTCACACCCCAGGGCAGTTTTAACCTGCAGACTTACCAAAAGTACAGAACCAACTTGTACAGCATAATAAACAGTACCACAAGAAAGCAATGCTCGGCAGCTTTTGTTGGAATGGTCACACTTTAGGATTACATCCACAGTGTAACAGTTAGAGCAACCTTGTGCAGTACAATAAACAGTGCAACAGGAAAGTACTGCTCAGTAACTTTCATTGAATGATCTCACTACAAGATTTCATCCACAGACTCAATAGTTAGAACAACCTTGTACACTGCAATAAACAGTACAACTGGAAAATACTACTCATGTGAACGGTCAGTTTGACTACTTGACATTTCAAAGACACCTTTTGATCCAATAATTTAAGGACAAAAATCTAAAACTGTGAGAGCTACCTTTTGATGCAAGTTGGTTTAACCTTTTCACTGCCAGAGTGAATGATACAGTCTTGTAGGATGATTCTATCTTTTGAGTCTGTGGACTTAACCCTACGTTGGCTAAATAATTAACAGTGTCTTTAAAGTTTCAACTGATTTTTATCTCGAACCTCTCATGCAATCCTTTCCTTAACTCTGTCTTTAAGTATTAATATCAATTGAAAATTTATCTATGTAACAATATTTATTCAAAACAGTTAAACCCTAACCCTCAGTTGATCTTCTGTCCCCCCCCCTTTCTAGATTAGCCTTTGCTACCTGCAGGTCAGTATAATAAATTAAGTTAATTCTTACAATAAAGTTATGTTGTTAGTGGTGGTGGTGTTGACCATTCAGATGAAACCTCTTTGGTAGTACTATTAGTTTTGCAGCATTCTAAAAAATCCAGTTTTTGGTCAATGAACAGAGAATGAGTTTACGGGTGAAAGATGATTGACAGTATCTAACCTGCATTTCTCCCTTTTCATCAGGTCTGCAGGGCTGAGGTGTCTCTCCATCAGCTGACTTGACAGATTTACTAGAACAATTCAGTAATGCCTCCACAACGAACAGAGTCTCTCCTTGGGTTGGACCACTCTGTTAAAATGCAATATTACAAGCATAATGAAACTCTAACCTGAAGAAGGCTTAAGGCTTAACCCTTTAAGCCCCAATATCCAAATACAAATTCTCCAAACTGATCTCTATACATTTCCCTTAAGAATTAGTTAAGAGAATTTGATAAAAGATCAAAGTATTTTCTCTGATCATTTTATTAATTCTCATAACCTAATCTCATGATAATGTATGGATATCGTTAGGAGAAAATTGCTGTTGGTCACTATCGGGACTTAAAGGGTTAAATACAATGAGGCAGTGTGGCTGAGTGGTCAGCGCGTCGGACTCGCAATCAAGCGGCCCCGAGTTCAAGTTCCACTTTGGCGACTTGCTGGATTTGTTTTTGGTCATCCTGAGTTCAAATCCTCGGCCACGTTTGTAAATAGCCGACTGGTTGCCTCTTGCCAGTTGGGGTTTGTATTTGAGTGAAGTGCTTGCAAACTAGCTGGATAAGTTGAGTACATTTTCCACTATAAACAAGCGTTCAAACTTTAAACACTTTTTTTAAACATCAGCACCCCAAATCAGCTATATATTTTATCAGGTTTACGATTAATACTGAAATAAACTGACAGTGAGAAGAAATTAACATCAAGATTTTAACTTCAACCCTAGTAGCAGTTTGAAGTAACAGTTACTTGAAGGACTGCCACTAAGGCCAAAGGCAGGGAATTCCCCACCACCCACCCCTCCCCACACCCACAGCCAGGCCAAAGGCAGGGAATTCCACCCCACCCCAAGCCAATTTCACTGAAAACAAAGGGAAAACAGAACCAAAAGTGCTCCTAGCTGTTCAATTCCCTGACCACTAATTGCATGATGCAGTCGAACCTCCATGTGCGACCACCTCTTGTAAGCAACCACCTCCCATAAGTGGCTGCCAATCCTAGAGACAATTTTTTCTTTACTTATTTGCATAGTTTTTTGTTTACCTTTTGATTTGCCTTCTTTTGGAAATTGAGTACCACACCCCAGCCAAAGTCGTCACTGTTACTTTTAACCTGTGAAAAGGCGATGTAATATGAAATTGTCATCATTTACCATCTTACAAGAGAAGGATTTAGTGAAAAAGATGCATGGTACTAAAGAGTACTAACTGTATGCGTTGTAAATTAACAAAATGCAAAGAATTAATAACTATTAGCAATTGCTTTTCAGGGCAATGGCAGATTTATAGAACACGTTAAGAGTTAAAGGAGCTGTGTCACGAAATTCAGCCAAATTAGGTAATTACAAAATGCCAGTTAAATTAAGAGAAACACAAAAATAACTACTTAAAACTTTAAAGGAAGGTTAAAATAACACAGCAGGTACAACAGATGCCACGGATGGGCAAAACTGAAGCAGATTGAAATGGATTGAAATTAGGGTTTTTGAAAACTGTTCAGCCTTAAAGTTTGTTAAAGTTGATCTCTGCTGTTTGCAACTTCAAAAAGTAATGCTCAGGAGACATATTTGTTTGTCTCGAATTTCTGATTTTGTCATTTACATGTAATTTCTTTGCTTACTTTAAGTTCCATAGTGATTGAGGGCGAGTAATTGGGAAAATTAAACAAAATGAACTGGACTGCCGTGACACAGCCCCTTGAAAGAATCTTTGAAACGTTTAAGTAACCAAACAAAGTAGTTACCCTATAATATGGGATGTATTAAAGCAAGTATTATTAACACAAATTAATGTGGATAGTACTTTAAGTTTTGAAACTTTTTAATTTTTAAATTTCATTTTAGTTCCTGTAAGTACTGAAGGTTTTACTTGTATAATAATAAAGATTTGGAGATTTTTAAACGTTTTTTTAAAGAACAGGTTTATCAATGAGAATACTATCCCGTGACTAATGACAGTATCCAGCACTTGCATTACGCACTCCAACAATTTGCATCATTTTTACCTGAATTAATCGTCCAGGCTGCATAAATGGCAGACAAAACTTGGGTTGGTGAATAAAACTCTGAAAAAAAAGAAAAAAGAAAAAAATCACACAGATTTCCCTTTCAGCAAGGCCCTTACAAATTTCTGACAACATAATAATCAGATACTCACCAACATGTCATTTCCCAGTCTCTTCAGCTGTTGTCTTATTTTGTAGTAGGCTGTGATGGATTCTTCATTAGGGATCTCAAATGCATCCCTCTTAACTTCCAGTTCTCTTAGTTCTGGAAAATAATTTCAGATTAGGACACATGAAATCCTATGGTGGTAGCAGTACATGGTGACATTTGTTATTTCGTATTTTGTGACAGTATTCAGTGTTTTGTAGTTAAAGGTTATTTTGGTTTGCTAATAAATATAAAATCCAAGCCTTTAATTTAGTGAGCTGTTAACAGTACATGTTAAGGCATTCACTGTTCTGAAAGTTCATAACTGTAATATCTTATGAGGTTGTGACACAACCCGTAGGTAACTATGATCTACAGTATCTTGTAAGAGATTAATTTTTAAAGATAAAGTTCAGTGTTATCCAGAGTCTTAAAAATTATTGTGATATTCTGTAATCTAACTCCTTAGGATATGATGTAACAAGTGTTGTACCATGAGCTTAGCTTTAAATAAATGTATTTAGCTTTAAATACAAGTGCTTTGTAAGATGTAGGTGGAATATGACCAAAGGGCTTAAGCCCTGGCTGAGATGTCAGTTACATTCTGGAAAGTAAAGAATACATTGGAAAGAAGTTAATGAACCAAAATAAACTATAATTATACTATAATTATATTATATAAAGATTAAAATCAAGAAGTCCACCATTCAAAAATCTTCAAAACAGTTGAACACACTTACTGTCAATCATGCCTGGAACTGAAGCATAGTTTTGAAACTGGTAAAAAGATTTTTCCAACATGATCTCCGGATTAACTTCCTCCACACGTAGCAGATTCAGCACCATGTTATATGTCAGATGGAATGCACTGTTAAGAGGATCTGCTTGGCCCTGGGTCAGGAAACAAAGAACATTAATGAAAGAACCTTCATCTCCCATTTCAGTATTTACATAGTTATTACAATTCTCATTTTATCTTTGCAAGAGTCTGATAAAAGATTTCAAGAGTATTGCAAGTGACTCTACTTTAGCAGTCCGGGAACATTTGTACCTCTACACAAATTAGCTCAGTCATATAAAGATGTTCATGTCTTGGTAAGAAGTATTGAAAAAAATGCTTATTAAGGTTTTATTTTTAAATGCATTATCTTTTATTTGTTTCTGGTAAAGTAATGTAGTTGTAATGCGCAGCTGATCATTCTCATGTTAAGCCGCACACAATAACTTCATAAATTATTATTACTATTATAAAAAGAAGTTATTTTTTGCTGACACTCAAACCTTTGATGAAAACCTTTGATGATCAGCTTTAATTTAGAGGATAACAGATCAAGCTTAAAAGCAAAGACTCATTTAAACCTTTGCCTGTTGACTGCATTCATGATTGGTACATGCCCATACAATAACACTAAAACGTAAACCACTATTCAGTCCCAAGATTTGACACCTGATTCTTGTAGTGAGCATTATATGGGTGGGTAAAATCCTAAAAACAAAGTTAAAAAGATCAATTCAAATTCTCACATGATATGTGAGGGGCACTCCATGACTTGTTGAGTATCACAAAATTAATTATGTTAACCAGTATTCTGTACTTGTCTGATACCTTTAAGAGTCCTTTACCAACATCCGGTCCCATCTTCTCATCCACTATAAGAATAACAATCCCTCTGTCATCAATACCACGTCTTCCTGCTCTGCCACTCATCTGAATGTATTCACCAGATGTTATCTAAAGACCAAACAAAAAAATAGAGTAAGTCCAGATCTGCCTTGGGAGCCAGAGGTTTTATCTTGTGTGGGGCAGGATGCTTCAGGGTTGGCCTTAGGCCAAGACCTCTACAGCAAAAGGCTGCAATAAAATGATTGCACCCAGTCATGGGTCACTCCTAAAAATTCTAAGCAATTGTTCACACAACTGGTCCTTGTAGGCATGTTAAGACCCAGAGCTGAGAGCAGAGAGGCTGCTAGGAAACTCTCCCACAAGTCACTATAAAGACTTCACTGAAACTGGAAACTGCACATAAAAAGTCTCTTACAAGTACCCACCATTAATTTGGATATTAATTATTATGATAAAAACAATGACGATGACCATACAAAAATGTTAAATTAATGGTACTAACAAATCTGAAATCTTTTCCATCAAACTTCCGAGCATTTGTAAACACAACAGTCCTTGCAGGCATGTTAAGACCCAGAGCGAATGTTTCTGTAGCAAACAAGGCCTGACAGAAGAAAAAAACAAAATAATCTTTTTGTTAATAAAAAGCCTGAAATAATCATGTCATGACTTGTACATCGATTAACAACAACTGAAAATGTTTTTTTTTCTTGGTCTGGAAATGGAAAGGTGTAGAACAGTAAGGATTTGTGTCCAAACAACAAATCAACAACAATTTTCTATCCGTTCACTGCGATGATCATTTCTTCATCTTCATTTCATTTCCGCAGTTCATATATGATTTATTTCACATATCATTAACACTCATTTCTTTCACGGGAACATACGAACCCACCATTGACCTGCTCCCAACGTCAGTGGCCTCATAGCTCAGTTGGTAGAGCATCACCGGTAATCGCGAGGTCAGGGGTTCAAACCCCATTGAAGTCCTGAATTTTTTTTTTCAGGCCTCTTTAAACAATTGCATAAATGTGTTCACTGCGACGATCATTTCTTCATCTTCATTTCATTTCCACAGGTCATATATGATTTATTTCATATATCATTAACATATGGTCTGTACTCTTATCGACCATAGAAGTGATGTCAACATGTTCAAAACTCAAGTGGAACCAAGAACCACAGGCGAGTGGTTTCACTGCAAAGTTTTGAACAATTTGATGTCATGTCTACGGTCGATAAGAGTTAAACCATCCAAAATTGTTGTTGAATTGTTTTCTACAATAACGTCAGTTAATGACATCCATTTACATTGAAGTTTCTCAGAAAATTGTGCGCATGATGAAGAGAAAACAAATTAAGTAATTTTCATGGTCTATACTCTTATTGATCATACCGTAAAATTCCGAAAATAAGCCCCTCCATGTATAAGCCCCTCCAAATATAAGCCCCCCAAACCGGTAACTCAAAAAACCCTCCGTTAAATCGCCCCTCCAAATATAAGCCCCCCAAACCGGTAACTCAAAAAACCCTCCGTTAAATCGCCCCTCCAAATATAAGCCCCCTTGGAGCTTGTACTTGGAAAATTGCCCGCAAATACTAAGTAAAACAAAGCAAAAACAGTAAATTTACTTCCAACTATAAGGCTAGCCCAATCGATTTTGAGACGCATATTTCCCTCCATAGATAAGCCCCTCCAAAAATAAGCCCCTCAAAAAGGGCCTTTGAAAAATATAAGCCCTGGGGCTTATTTTCGGAATTTTACGTCGCTCTCAACCAATGAAATTGACCAGCATCAGCTCTCTGAATGCTAGATATGGATCATTGTCAGAGGTCATCACTATATAGAATGCAAATCAATCTGACCAACCTTGATTAAACCTTCTGAAAAGAGAATTTCAATTGTCTCTTTCAAAATAGGGAGCAGCCCAGAATGATGGATACCAATGCCACGTTTCAACAGTGGCAGAACATGTTCCACCTAAAATTAATAAAATGGAATATTGCATTACTTACACATAAATGAATGTGGTTTCCGGGTAAAATTCTACTTTGTTTGCTTCTTAAATCTTAAATCCACTGTAAGCCACAAAACATTGTATATGTAATTCTTCAGTGACAACAGTTTGAGTTCTGTAACACTTACTAAAATAAACAACTACATGTGCTTAATTCTCCAACTATGAGTTCTTTCTCTTTTTTATGGGGGAGGGGAGGGAGTCAGATCCCACCAGACCCTCCCCCTATTTGTCAATAAAGGAAGTTCTAACTTTTAAACTGAATGAAATCCTAAAACGAGACAGCTTAAATTATTAGACCTCTTCAGCTATCTAATGACTTTCCTGTATATATGCTGGTAGAAACATTCAGCTAAGTTAATATTATGGAAAATAATCCAGCATTGCATGTATTCTAACCTGAGGAAGTGCTTTATCTTCATCTGACAAACAATCAATAGCATTGTTGAATACTTCCTCAACTAATTTCTTTTCTTGAGCTAAAAATATTCACAATGAGGAAAAAGGAATAAGATTTGAAGACACCACAAATAAAATACCAATAAATTATTTAACATGTAAGCTAACGGCTGAGAGCCAATAATAAATATTACTTAAAAAAATTAATAAAACAACCCCTACAATTTAGGCTCAAACCATTTAATTTACACAAAAGCAGAACCATTGCCCCAGGTGCTTATCAAAGTAACTATAATTTTTTACATCTATTCTTTCTTGATGGTTTCCTTCATTCTGACTCTCAACTTTTATATTCAATTATATTCACTTTTTATATTCACTGGTGATGTTAAAAGGAGAAATGAGATGCTGATCTTTGATATTGGTTTCTGACCTGAATTAAAGTCCAGTTTTGACATCTGCAGAGCATAGGCTTCACATTCTTTCTTGCTGAAGCTGAATATAATGACAGGCTGGAAATTCCTCTCCATAATCATTTTCACGATTCTGAAACAGTTTGAGGGACCTGCAATCAAATTTAACAGTTATGAAACAGGTAACCTCACATGGCTACATGAAATTTACGATAAGCTACACTGCAAGTTAAACTCAAAACAATGTTGGCCAATAGTTATTTGTTTGGGATCAACTGGGGTGGTTAAAGGGGCTGTGTCACGGCAGGCCAGTTCATTTTGTTTAATTTAGCCAATTACTCGCCCTCAGTCGCTATGGAACTTAAAGTAAGCAAAGAAATTACATGTAAATGACAAAGTCAGAGATCGAGACAAACAAATATGTCTCCTGAGCATTATTTTTGAAGTTGCAAGCAGCAGGGATCAACTTTGAAAAACTGTTAGGCTGAACAGTTTTCAAAAACCCTCATTTCAATCCGTTTCAATCTTCTTCAGTTTTGCCCATCCGTGGCATCTGTTGTTTCTTGTATGTTATTTTAACCTTCCTTTAAAGTTTTAAGCGGTTATTTTTATGTTTCTCTTAATTTAACGGACATTTTGTAATTTTCTAATTTGGCTGAATTTCGTGACACAGCTCCTTTAAACAAATTCACAATATTGTGCCTTTGAATTGGGAATATTTATGATTCCTCTTACTATTAAGGCCAGGCATCAAACTGCTGGAAGGTAATTGACTCATTCTGATAAAATAGCGACAACAGTCAATGGAGGTTTATTTCAACTTTACCTTCTTCATGTTTCTTAATGATTTGCTCCCTCCCAACCCTTATGTAGATATACAATACACATGTAAGTAGGTCAAGTTTCCACTGGTTTGGAGGGCGACAGTGCAGTTACTCAATTACAAATAGTTATGGTGAGTCCTGGGACTCATCTTGTGAAAAATCATGAGTCCCAGTCCATAACCAATGAGTCCCAGTAAAAAAAAAGCAAGGAGTTCTTAACTAAAACTGCTTGGGCCCTTATGTAACCAGATAGTTAATCTGGAGACAGATGACAAAACTCTTTATTACAACTCACTGAAAAAAGAATTAATGAAACAAACACGATATTCTACCAAAAAAATCTTTAAAGCGATTGATCATTCTTTGTTTCCTACAGGTCGCATGCCATGAATTATTTTGTGTCTTTGGGGATTTTCATGTATCGGGGGACGCAGCGCACAAAGGTAACAAAATCACTGCAGTGGCTTAGTGGATGCCACTCTCAGGGTTGTCATGGTTACAGAATGCACTCTACTGTAGTTCTCAGCTCAACAGACTCTTTGCCACATTATAGAGCCCTGTCCTTACCAGTTGTGCTGACATGAAACCACCACTGTGACAGACAAAAACTACATGTACAACAGCAACAAAGCCAAAATCATGCACAATTATAAACTAGATTGGTAATATTAATTGATATGTACCTTTAGTTCCTCCTTTTCGACCTCTTTGTGAACCTGGATCGGTACCTCCTTCCCTTACTACAGCCATGGCTTTCTGAAAATTTTCTTCACGAAACTCTCCCTAAAAAGTAAAACGATAACTATTACAATGTAATATTATTATTAATAAATACAAAAAAATGAACACTAAGGCACAGTTCAGGGCTGCCATTTAAGGCTGTAACCCGTAACCCATGTTACGGCTATTAAAGCTCACTTGATGTTACTTGACAAAAGTGGAAAGCAGAAGCTTACATGTGTAAGGTGACACTAAAAATTTCTGAAGACACTATGGCTGAATCTTTATTTTCTATGCCTGCTGAAAAAACTAATGACAGCCCTGCACTTTATGGAGGTTAAGACTAAGTACATGTGCTTGTCACACAGGTCAGGTAATTTTTGCACCTTGCTGTTTGTCACCCCTGGTGAGCAGGGTTCTCAATAGATTTTTTAAGTAGGAGGTGATCACTGATAAAGTAGGAGGCTCTTCAGCAAAGCCAGAGGTGTCAAAACAAAGCAAAGAAAAGCGACTTAAACACAAAGTAAGCAGCTATAAATCCCAAAGTAAGCGACGATCAATCGCCGGGTGCCGCCTTCTATTGAGAACCCTGGGTGAGGGTTTGAATCCCAGTGCTCAAACCTAAAATTTTTCAGGCTTTCTTTTCGCAACTGCAAAAGTTGTGTTTATAAGTCTAATAATATTTTGTGCATCTATTTTTTTGTCACCTACTTTCTCATCCTGAACAAGAAAGAGTCCTTCACCACCAGCAGGATAAATGTAATGCTGGAGTGGAGTTGGTCTAAAATCTGTATATACCACATGGCATGGCTGCAAGACAATTTAAGAACACAATGAATTTAATAGAGACTTTCATAAGTTCTTCTGTGGTGCTACATGTACATTCAACTCCCTTTGTGGTGGACACTGTTGGGACTTCTAGTTAGCAAGAGTCCGTAATAGCAGGAGTTTATTTCGGTCAAACATCTGAAATTTATTTTTGCTTGGGATTTAGCTGATGTTCGTATTATCAGGTTGTCCATTATACTGGGGTGTCTGCAAGGCGAGAGTTAACTACATGAGGGTTATGACCTGTAGCCACTCAGATTAAGGAGTATGCTGTAAAGTAAGATTTAGAACCCAGGAGCTGAGAATCGAGAGAAAAATTTTCAGGTGAAGACAAACATACATTGTAAATTACTTTTTTGCTTTAATTCTAGAATAACTGTTAGATCACTGGACTTTAAAATCAGGTAGCAACTGAGTTCAAGTCCCACCCTAACTGCTGACTGCTGATGGGATTTGTTCTGGATTTGTTCTGAGATAAACAACTCAACCAAGTTTTTAAATAACCACGGCAACTGGTTTGCCTTCAGCTATTTGGGATTCTTACATTACTTTAAAACTGTGAAAGGTTTGAAGCCAGGAGTCATATCAAAAGTAGGTTGAGTTTGATCGTCTGGGTGAACGTAGTGCTGAAGAGGACTGTTGTTGTTGACAGTGATTGACATTTTGACAACCTGTGCGGTAGTCAACTTTGACTCTGAAGATGACTACTGCACAGGTTGTCAAAATGTAAGTCACCGTCAACAACAACAGTCCTATTCAGGACTATGTTCACCCGGATGATCAGACTCAACCTACTACATTACTTTAGTTATGTTTTTTAATTACTGGTTGTAATCATTTTGTTTCTGTCCTTATATGCACATAACTGTAAATTTATTTGTGGATACCTATGTACACTACTGGCAGTGTTGAAAATTGGCTGGGATTTCATAAGCAACCGTCAGAAATAATCACGTGATGTGGTTCTCACGTGATGTGGTTAAGATGGACGGCCGCGTGTTTAAGTGCTCCGCGTAACATTTCGTAAATTTCTGATGTTTAAGTCTTCCTTCTGCCTTTTTCTATTTGTTTTGTTATCTTGTTTCGTGTGTCACATTATGCCTGAGTCTATTGCCAACCTAAAGAGAGAAAATAACGATCTCAAATCTAAAGTTTCAACGTTAACGGAGGAGATTTCAAGACTAAAAGATTTATTTCAACAACAAAGCAGCAGTGCCGCCCCTTCTGCTAAAGAAAAATCTCACAGCCTTGAATTCCTAAGCAAGGAATATGATGACTTTCTTCTCTTCAAAACCACTGCCAACAAAGAGCTGCAACGACTAAGTTCACAACTCTCACAGGTCAAGGCCAGGGTGGACGCCATTGCAAACGCCATCGATGAATTCCAAGAATATAGCTTTCAATACAATGTTAAAATTGTCGGTGTTCCCGAGGTGTGTTCTGACGAAGCGGCTTCAACAACAAGTAAGCTTTGTGTAAAATTGTTTAAAGAAATGGGAGAAAATATATCAATCCAAGATATTGACACTGCCCATCGTGTCCCGCAAAGAAACAACGCCGGAAATCCAAAGCCTATAGTCTGCAGATTCGTGAGACGGCTGGTTAAGGAATCTCTAATGTCTCATCGGAAAGAAATTAGCAATGTAACCCCAGCTGCGGTTGGTCTACCAGAAGGGTCTTCATTGTCTTCGGCCAGAATTTACGACCATCTTTCACCAAGAATGCAAGCAGTCCTATTCCAGGCTAAAAAGTTAAAGAAGAGCTCCACTATCAATATTGCTGGTCAAAGGGCCCGTTATTTGTTTATTTAAAAGACTCCACATCGCGGATAATCAAGCTCAAGAGCATGGCGGACCTCGACGAACTTAAACGTAAATTGGCCATTGAAGGTTAGATTTTACTAAAAATGTCTATTGTACACGATAAAAATGACTTCTCACAAAAACAAAAAGAAACAGTGCTTGCGATCGAGAATAAGACCTTACTCGGCGCAATTACCATATTATAACTGTAAAGTCTTGACTTCTGCCCACCCACAGTTTAATAGTTTAATTGATGATAATCGACCTTCTAGAAAATTGCTAGATTCTCTCAGTAGTCTCTACGACCTTAGTGTATTCCAGCTAAACTCTCTTGATAAACATATTGATCCTGATATAAATCTCACCTCAAACAAAATACGCTCAAAATATTATTCCCCACACAGCTTTGCGCAGTTTGTTGACAGCAAACAGTTGCAATCAAAAATCTCCTTTTTACATACAAATATACGTAGCTTAAAGAAAAATTTTGAAGAATTTCAACATCATGTTTTAAGTGAAATGAATTTCCGTTTTACTATTATTGGTGTTACAGAAACTCGTATATGCGATCGTGAATGTAGTTTTAATTTTGTCTATGGTAATTCAGCAACTTTAATTGACAATATTTTCATAAATAATCCTGAGAATAATATAGTCAGCGGCAATATCGTGTCCGATACAACAGATCACTTCTCTCAGATGTGCATATTATCGTCGCACTGTAAACCATTCTTTCCAAACAACAAAACTAAGGTTCGTGACTATTCTACCTTCAATGCAAAGTCTTTCATTGACGACTTGCAGAATATTAATTGGAATAATATTTGCAAACATATCGATGCCAATCAATCGTTTTCCAGGTTTTACAAATGCGTCAACAAGACAATTAACAAACACGCTCCTTTAAGAAGTATATCCAATCGTAAACAAAAATTCCTTGCTAAACCATGGCTGACGGCGGGTTTAAGAAAATCAATCAGGGTAAAGAATAACCTCTTCTATACCTCAGACCGTGACAAATACAAATTTTACAGAAATAAAATCATTTATCTTACGAGATTAAGTAAAAGCGAACTACTACCAAAGTTTCTTTGATCTCAACATATGTAATATCGTCAAACTTGGAAAGGAATTAACGAGCTAATTGGAAACTGTAAAAAGAAAAACAAAAGCGCAACTCAACTAACTCTATTCGCTCAAACCCGAATGAGGTTCCAACTAGTGACCAAGGAAATAAGCAATATTCTTAACAAATATTTCGCCACTGTTGGGAGCAAACTGGCTTCTAAAATTCCTCAGACCATAAATACATTCTATGATTATTTAGATCCGCCACTTAATCGCACTTTCTTCTTTGATCCTATTATTCCGGAAGATATCAATTTAGAAATTTCAGTTTTACAAGACAACAAGGCCCATGGTCTCTACTCATCTCCAGTTAGGCTGCTGAAATTAGCAAAAAGGGTCATATCCGTACCTCTAGCTACGATTTTTAATCAGTCTATTTGCTCAGGATTTTTCCATCTAAACTAAAGTGTGCTAAGATTATCCCGATATTTAAGGACGAAGATGACACGCTGCCGAAAACTACCGACCTATTTCTCTGCTCTCGATTTATAACAGGATTTTTGAAAAACTTATGTACTCCAGAGTTACCAAGTTTGTCAAAGATTGCAACATTCTCTATGATCAGCAATACGGTTTTCGCAGTAAGCACAGTACTCAGCATGCTGTACTTGATATTGTTAACACAATTCTCCAAAACATGGACAACGGTAAATTTTTGTGCGGTGTTTTCATCGATCTCAAAAAGGCTTTTGATACTGTTAACCATGAAATTTTGTTAGCTAAACTTGAAAATTATGGTATTAGAGGTGTAATAAACTCCTGGTTCAGATCATACCTGACTGATCGGAAGCAAACTACGGAAGTTAATAATGTTGTGTCTGAGGCTGAAACGACCTTGTGCGGCGTGCCACAAGGCTCAGTCCTCGGACCACTCTTATTCCTACTGTACATCAATGATATTTACAAGTCCTCTTCGTTATTTGCCTTTTATCTATTTGCTGACGATACTAGTATAATACTTGCAAATAACAACCTAAAGGAACTTCGAAACACTTGTTAATCGCGAGCTTGGCAACGTCAACGAATGGCTAAAGGCCAACAAACTGTCCTTGAACATAAAAAAATCAAATTTTGTAATCTTTCGTCCCCGGCAAAAGAATATGCCCTTCATACCTAGGATTAGAATTTTTGACTCCGTGACTAACACCTACGCAAACCTTGAAATGAAAGATTATGTAAAATACCTTGGCTTAATGATTGATTCAAATCTTTCATGGAAATACCACATCGAATCTGTCTGTCACAAAATCAGCAAGTCGATAGGAATTATAGCTAAAATTCGACATTATGTCCCGCGTCGTGTTTTACTTTCAGTTTACAACTCATTAATTGTCCCTTACTTGACTTATGGTATTTGTGGTTGGGGAAATTGTGCCTTGACATTTCAACGAAAGATCGTAACTCTACAAAAACGGGCCTTACGTCTCATTTACTTCAGTAAGTCTAAGGAACACGCCCGTACCCTTCTTTCTCAAATCAAATTGCCTTCCCCTGCCTAGCATATTTTTCAGAGATTGTAGCTATTTATTGTATGATATCAACAGACAGACAGCACCAGTTAGTATTCTCAATCAGTTCGTTAAAACAAGTCAGATTCATAACTACAGAACAAGATCTGTCTCTAGCGACTCGTTTTATGTTAAGTTCTCTAGAACCGATAAAATGTATGCCTTTTTCACGAGAATCGGTGCCCAAATTTGGAACTCTATTCCGTATTCGATTAAAATACTTAAACGTTAGTCCTTTTCGTAAAAAAAATAAAGGAATTATTACTAAATTTTTTGCGGTCAGAAATGATTATGTCGAAGTCTCCGTCTTATTAAGTTATTTAATACTTTAGTTAACCTCTCTTCGTAATCGTTATGTACATGCCTTGTTTTTTGTTTTTTGTTTTATGTTAGTTTAAACTCTATTTACTGTATTGTAGTGTCTTCACTGTTATCTAGTCCATCTATATATAATTCTTGTTTTGTAATATGTCTTCAGCTCCCCCCGCCTCGATTAGTTCATAAGCTATTTGCGGGTGGGAAAGTAATGTAATTAGTTATTTTCCAATTTTCAATAAAATTTGTTGTTGTTGTTGTTGTTGATTGACCCACCTGAGCAATCAAAAATTACAATAATTGGAAAAATCTCTTTAGAAAAATTGTACTAACTACTAGGTCACTAGTACCAAAATTGTATCAACCCTATGAGGTCATTTTTACAATAACCTTTTTGTGCCCGTTCAGGTGTATTTATAATAAATTATGACTTACCTGTTTATGTAAATGTGAAATCCACTCAGCAAACTGTCTTGCATTTGGAATTGTTGCGGACAAGAAGACATAATGAACATTATCTGGTAACAGGATGATGGTTTCCTCCCACACAACACCTCTCTCTATAAAAAAATCAAATAACATCCATGTGACTTAAAACAAAATTCCTTACATTGGCTTAAATTTTATGCCCATCTAAAAGTTTTTGAACCATTTTAATTTTTGTTTTTCTTTGTTTTAGGTTATGAAGAAAATACATAGTGTATTGTTCTCAAAAATATTACTAGTAAAACTACAGGAATAGAAAAAAAAGTTGTTACATCTTCTGTTCACGTCCTTGACAAAAATGTGAAATTAGGCACTTTCTCACTGTACATGTAATTGTGCAACGACGGCAAAGAACTGTACAAAAGGGCATGATACATGTGCAGACTTTGTTGTTTTGCCAATCAAAATCCATTGCTTTTTTGTTTTTTTCATTGCAGTCACCATCACTATCATCATTGCTTAAGCTCCCTAGTGATGACTTAACATGGTAGTAATAATTGAACCATAACAGGATACAATGCATCTAAACTGTAGCAAAGCTACTTAATATCATATGTATGGCAATATTGCTTTGAAGAATTACCTTTATCTCTCATGTAGTGAATTTC